CTGCCCCCCCCCCCCGGCCCTCACCGTCCCCTCGGGCCGCTCCAACCGCCGCTCCCGCCTCAGGCCGCTGCCGCTACGCACTGACGTCACATCCGGTGGCGCCCCGTGCTGACGCCACTTCCGGCGGCGCGCTCATAAACCACCGAGGCGCAGGCGCGGAGCGGCGGCCGCGAGGGGGCGCTCTGGGATCATAGAGAGGAGCCGGGTCCTCCCAGCGCCCGCCGGGTCCTCCCAGGTGTTCCGGTCACCGGGAAAAGGCTCCAGGTGCTCCCGGGAGCCCCGGAAACACCTCCGGGACCATCCCGGGGCCTCCCGGATCGCCGGACAGCGCCTGCAGGGCCCTCCCGGGATCCCCCGCACACCTGGACACCTCCAGGGTCTCCCAAAATTCCCTCCCGTGCTCCCCCATCGCTCCGGATTTTCCCCAGAGGATCCTCAAAGAGACCAAAAGCGGCGATTCCGGCCCAAAATCGAGCCCAAAAAATGGGGATTTTTTATTAAATCCATGGGAAATGACAAAAATGTAACGGGTCAGAAGGTCGGGAAGGGAAACCCCGGGAAAACAGCGGGAAAAGAGACGGAGTTTGGGGAGAAAAGGGAGGTTTGGAATAGAAAGGAAGGATTTGGGGGCAAAAAAATGGGGAAAAAATTGAGATTTTGGCCCAAAATCCAGGTTTGGGGGCACAAAGGAGGGAATGAGGAGAAAGGAGAGGAATTTGAGAGCAAAACCGGAGGATTTTGAGACAAAAAGAGGGACTTGGGGAAAAAAAAAAATGGTGAAAATTAGAGAAAATAAAAGGATTTGGGGCAAAACCGGGAAATCTGGGAAGGAAGGAGAGATTTAGGGAGAAAAACGGCGAATTTGGGAGGAAAAAAAAGGAATTTCCCGCCCATTATGCAAATAAAACAAACTCCCGCCTAAAATGCAAACAAGCCGTCTTCTAATTTGCATAAAGGAGGGGCGGATTGGCCACGCCCACATGCAAATGAGGTCGAGCAGGCCACGCCCCCCTGGGCTTTAAAGCGGCGGGGATGAAATTCGGGCCTCGTTTTTGGGGCAGAAGCGCGGGAATTTGGGGTTTTCCCGCGCTCCCCACAATCCTGTCCGGGGGGGGGAGGGGCTGAGCCCCATTTTGGGGATGAATTTGGGGGTCCCGACCCCTCCTCAAGCCTCGTCCTCGCTCAGGAGGAGGTTGGGGACCCCCTTGGAGATGGGGAAGCGACGCCCCGAGTCCGGGCACTGCAGGGAGCCCTCGAGCACCTCCAGCTGCGCGGGAATTTGGGGGGGTCAGGGGGGTCCCGGGGGGGTTTTTGGGGGTCCCTGGGGGGTTTGGGGACCCCCCCTCCCCCCGGGGGTTTTGGGGACCCCCCCTGACCTCGAGCAGGACGTGGTGGACACGGCGCAGGAATTCCTCGTCGCCCTCGTAATTGGGGAGGGGCTCGGGGGGCAGCTCCGAGGGGTGTCCCAGCTTGGGGGGGCACAAAGGGGGGGTCACTGGGGGGGTTTGGGGACCCCCCCCCAAATTGTTCCCCCTCATTAAAAACCCCAAATCTGAGATTTCTCCTCATTCCCCAAAAATTTGGAGGCTCCTGAGCCCCCCCCAAAAAAAATGATCCCTGCCCCCCACTAAAGATTCTTCTGCTCTTGGAGCCCCCCCAGACCCCCAAAATCATCCCCAAATTCCCCTCCAGATCACCAAAATCCCCAAATCCTCCCCCAGAGCCCCAAAATTCCCACAAAACCCCCCTAGACCCCCCAAAATTCCCCCAAATTTCCCCCCCTTGACCCCCAAATCCCCCCCAAAATTCCACCAAATTTCCCCCCCAGACTCCCAAAATTCCCAGCTCCCCCTCAGACCCCCAAAATCATCCCCAAATCCCGTCAAACCCCCAAAACTCCCCCAAAACCCCGGCAGAACC